ACTAATAACTTTTCAATGTCTTTTAAGCATTCAAACGTATTATTTATTTGGGTACATTTTTAAAAGTATTTGAAAATCTTCACATGGAAAGAATTTTATATATATTTAAACAGCATCAATAAATACCCTCCGAAACTGACAACTTTAAGTCTCAGCCATTTTTTTTTACCGTGTAAAGCATCGCCCACGGCTTTGGGTTAGAGATCAAGAAAGAGACGGCGACTTCCTTCCGTTACAGTTGCCCAAAAAAGTATTTTCTCGGACATTGGCCAACTAATTGGCGGACGTTGCTCGCTTTGGGCGATATATACCCAAAAAAAAAAAGGGGAAAAAAACGGAGAGAAAACGAGGAGGCAGGGGCTCTGATAATAACTTCTTCAACGAGCCCCATGAAGTGAAATTATTCGGGTAAACATGCACGCTAATTACAAAACCCTCAAACGAGCAGCCAAAAAAAAAAATAATAAAAAAAAACAAAACCGAGCAAGGAGGAGGAAGAAAAAGCAGCAGCAGAGGAGCTGTGGGGGGGTCTCAGAAAAATGATATAATATTTTATGAATCAATTCACGAGAGCGCCAAGTGGACCACCGTCGCTGTCAGCGGCGACGCCAGTCGCCAGTCTTCAGTTTTCAGTCTTCAGTCTCCAGTCTCCAGTCTTCGGGGGCCCCTCTTCCGCCCCCCCTGGCACGCCCCCTTCCCCCTGCTCGCTGGGGGACTTGGGAGGCACACGAATATCGCCATCGTCGTGCAGTTAGCGAATGAGCCACTTAAAGAGCCACAAATAATAATAACGACTTTAACGACAACCACAACAACAGCCACACAGCGAGCTGGTGATCTTCGGTCGGTGTCTACGGTGTCTACGGTGTCTACAGTGTCTACAGTGTCTTCGGTCTTCGGTCTTCAGGCCCGATTCTTCGGACACAGCGCTCAAGACTCCAGTGTTCAGTTTTCAGGCCCAGTCTCTGCGCAGATCCACACAAAGTTAAGCTGGCTGCGCTTATGACTGCTCTTTTCCCTCGATTATGACTGGGCTTTTGGGATATTTTGGGGCTCTGTTCTTTTTTCATTTTTTTTTTTTTGTATTTTTTGGGTCTTGCGACTTGGGCCTCCTGAGAAGGGTCGTTCTGGGCCATTGCCGCGCCCTAACAAGCACAAATCAACAGGTTTATTATGATGCGATGAATGCCCAGAGGATGGGTCCAGTGGCTGTCAAACTGTGCACTCGGGTCATTTGCAACAAGTCAATCACAAATGGGTTCAAACGAGGGGCAAACATCATTAGAACCATTCTTTATTTTATCCGAGAGTATACTATAAATTAAATAAAAAATATATATTATTTTTAACAAAATGTACTAAATATAAAATTAAATAGCTGTTAAAACATTACTCTTAAAAACAGTAGAACATTTGTTATAAAATAAAAAAAAACAATCGCTACAGGGTTGTAACTCAAAAGAAATCTAACAATAAAATATATAAAATATATATAAATTTATAAGTTACAAATAACAAGCCAAAGAATGCAGAAATAATATTTTTTTATTTAACAAACATATTATTATATATTAGTTTATTTATATTTACTCAACTTATTTGTGATTCACTCAACTAATTATTCAGCCAAGATAACTCAAAGCCAAATCATATCAAGAATGGAGCTGGAGCCTAAAGTTATCTTCAATGTGGTCAACAAGTTGCAGACAGGACTTTCTGCCTCTGCCGCAAAATTCACAAAATTGTTTGCAAAATCACGGTTTAGCCCAATTTGGGGTAGCACGAATGTCATGTGTATGGGCTGTCCATCAATATTTGCACCTTTGACCCGACGCCTGCGTCATTAATGATGGCCGCCGGGCAGACAGACGACAAACTCACACCTCAAACAAACAGGGAAAGTCCACATGACCAAAATACTGTTTGCGAATCGTATTATTAGTTGATTTTGGATTGCCGAAAAATACAGAAATATTGCTGACAAATATCTGACCAATGAAAATGAAGTAAAATCGCAGTAACATATTTTTGTGTGTTGGCATTCAAATTGAAAATTGTGGTTTTGCAATTTCAAATACTTACTAGGCTTGAAATATATATTTTTTGAATTAATTCATGATATATGTACTTTAGTCTTTATTCAGGCTAAAAATGTTTTCTAAAATTGCGAATCAAGGTTAAAATTTATTTAAAAAGCTTTAATTAATAATATTTAAATACGCCATTGTCCTAAATGGTTTCTTAAATGTAACTTTTAAATTGTTTTGTTAAAGAAAAAAAAAAGTACAAACTACTTTAAAAAATCTGAAATTTAAATTAAAAATTACTGATTCGAGTTCTGAAAAGACTTAGAAAAAACATTACAAAAAACTACATAGTTTTTGCTAAATAATCCTAAAAATGAAATGTTTTTATTAATTTAAAATGTAATTTATAATCGTATAATTCTTTTGAAATTTTCTTGTAAGCGAACCAAGTTTTGAGTTTAAGTACAGACGTTTAAAGAAAATACCTACGTATACCCTGTAATTTATTGTTTTGGCTGGGGAAACCCCTGCAACAAATCCCTTCAAGCTTGCGGAACAACTGCGGCAGATGTCTTTGTTTCGATCTGATGGCACCTGGAATCTAGCCTAGACTTTCGGGACCAGGATCCTCATCCTTGTGGGGGGAGCGGGGAATTAAATCCCTGTCGACAATGGCCACACAGCTTAATTAGGCCTCTGCGCTTACCCAATTAGGAATTAGCATCGTGGAAAGGGAAGATCTTCGGGCGGAGGGAGGAGGGAGGAGGGAAGAGGAGGACCTCGAGCAAGGACCGCTGGAGGATCGGACCCCATATAAGCTTACACTCGGGCTACACTGGCTCAATGAATGAAACTCAAGCACAGGATATGCGGCTCCTTTGATCCGCGATTTGTGGACAGTAAGTACGGGGAGGGGGGATGAGGGGACGTGGGCGGAGCTGCCTCGAAAACTTAGACATTCAGGAAAAGATCAAAAAAACCCGCTGCCGACGAACCAACTTATGGTAATTCGAGATGACGATGCCTCAACCCAAAAAGGATATGCGAGGATGTGTATTTGCGTGTGTGTGTGTGTAGGTGTGTGTGCGGCAGGATAACCCACAATAATGACTGGGTCGTTCAACCGAGGAGTCAAAGAGCATCCGCATATTATACGGCAAATTCACGCTGATTAACTGATCATTAGCCCTTATAAAATGTAACAAAACAAAGCCGAAGCTTACATTTATTTAAACTACTCTGGGAACTTCAACTTCAGCTATTTACCCAAAAAAAAACTCTTCTCAATTATTATTTAATTGTTTCTTTCATATATAATTATTTTTATAAATTTTACACATTTTAACTCTAGGCTAAAGAACTATATTTCAAATCACAAATGAAAAGCACATTTAAAACTGTCAAATAATGTTTTAATCTTATCATAACTCAATCTACACATTCTACTTGTGATTTGGTTATAAAAGATTAGTATTATAAACGATTCTTCTTTACAACTTTTATTAATTATAAATTTACATACATTTTAATCAGCTTTGTTTTTTTTAGTTCATGGTGGTTGATATTGGTCTTTAATTTCTTGAAGGGATTGCTCCTCCCACTTTCCATGAGTGAATGCATTGACCTTCTTCACACGCAAGGATGGGGAGAAAGCAGGAGGGGAGAGGAGAAAGGAGAAGGAGCCGGTGAAAAGGTGAGGAGAAGGGCGTATAACACACACTTATATGGCACTAGGCAATAATGGCCGGACCGAATGGCAAACAGGGTTCCCCCATAGGGATTTCGCCATATACAAGAGGCTATATGGCATACAAACATATATATGCATATGTGTGTATGGATATATATATATATATATGTGCCCGTCTGAGAATTCCACCCCATTGTCGAATGTTCGAATGTCTGGTTCTTGTGATTTCCTGCAGAAAGTGCCTCGAACGGAGCTCTAAGTGGCCTAATTAGCAGCCGTGCGGCGATCAACACCACTCGTCACCAGCCATCAACATCCTTGTACCTCCTGCACGCCCTTTGACCCCACTACCCAATACCCAACGCCCACCTTTACACACACACACACACACACTCTGTTTGCATAGCACTTATACACCACATCACATCATATGCATGTGTGTGCGCGCGCCAGAGTATTTTGCATATTATTTCACGCCATTGTAGCGCTTTCAACGCAAAACCGAACAAAGTAAAGTAAAAACGTGGACAGAAAAAAAAAATAAAAATAAAAATGGCTAAAAAAAAAAGTGGTTACCAGTGTGGAAAGGGGGTTTTTGAGGTGACTGGAGGTGGAGATGGAAACAAACTACGAAACAATGAGGCGACTGAGTGCCATAAAAACTCTGTCGCCGAAGCCTAACAGAACCAGGGTAACACATATTCCAACGTCTCCTCTTCGGATCACTGAGGAAATAAACATATACCCCTAAATTAGTGATCTTAAGAGGGTTTTTTTGTGATTTTTCCTTCCTGTGGAAAGATTTTTGACAACTAGTAAACTTAATTTTGATTATTCTTTTCATAACTTCATATAAATACAATTTCAAAAGATGGAAATCTAAATGCTGTGATCTTCTATAAACATCATAGAGTTAAGCTTCCAGTTTAGATTGTCCCAAGAATATATGTATATATAAATCAAATATAATAAATATCAAAAGATACATTAAAAACAATCGAAACAAGCTTGCTTATAAGGCAAAAATATATTAGTCTTCAGCGATTTTTTTTTTAAACTAAACAATAATTTAATTCAAAATAAAACTTAACTTAGACTATCAAAGATTCTTTTGTTCAGTGTTTCAACAGAGTCTGCAGTTTTTTGTGGTCTTTGGCGTTAGTCGTCGCACTTTGGGCGGCAAAAATGCGCTCGACACACAGCAATGGCGGCCTCCATAGTTTACGGTTTGATTTAACCGAACCCCGATGCCGCCGCCCCCCGCCACCCACCACCCCTCTCACCTTGAGGAAAATGCAGGTGTGGTTTTTCCCCCATTTGCCTCAGTTTTTTGCCGGCTTTTTGGCATGGCTTCCGTTTTGGGCTGACGTTGCCACTGCCACTGCCATGATTTGTTGAATTTTCTTTTCTTTTGCCTCCTCCCTTTTTTTGTTGCTGTTTTCCGTTGGAAGGTGTTGTCGTTGTTGCCCCACACAGTGGATCATTTAGTGGCTCCACATCCACTTGGGCTTTCCTCCAGTCTCCTTCTTTTGCACACAGGGGGAAAATGGTGTATAAAAGGTATTCCTTACATCAAAAAACATCAACAAAGATCTGCAATGAGATTCGATTGAGCACACATTAAAACACAAAGAAAATATTTATGAGAAAAATAACTTTTTGAAGTAAACTTGCATTTCATTTTTTAAAAAATATTTTTAGGAGCCAAAATGTAATATTAAAATGTTAATATTAAATTGGTTTTCACAGATTAATTATTAGAATATCAATAAATATTTGCTTAAATCGAAACAGCATACTTTTTCATTGGCTCAGCTTCAGTGGCTTTAGTTGAATTAAGCTGGAGTTTTTTCTCTGTGCATTTGGCAAATCTCCTGAAAAATCCTTCGCCGCAGTCACTCAGTTGGATGCCCCTTGTCATTATTGGCATCCATAACCATTTTTCACCGGCCATTCGCATTCCTTGGCAGACACAACAAAGGAAAACAATCGAATGTAGGGACAAACAACCATTGGAAAATATGGAACATCATTTTCTGGACCCAACCAAGCCGACAACAAAAGAAATGAGCAGCTTTTCGGCACTGAGATTCCAAAAACAGGAGCGGAATTCAGGACCAAAAGCTCAAATGGTCTTGGTAGCCAAGGTGAACCTGCCAATTCATCCTTGCAGTAAATGCGAAATTACCGAATTCACAATTTCGTTGTCCTTTGGCCAATTTTAAACTTTCCGAGTCTATGAAAATTTAAAACTTACTGTTGAACATAATTACAAATTAAACAAGGAACGAATTACAAAGTAGGAAATTCGTACTTTAAAATGGTTTAATAACTATATATGGATACGGCTGTTAGACTATACACTTTTGAAAATCTATATTATTCTCTATTGAAAATATGGTAATAATTCATTTTTAAAATCTGGACTTTTGGAACTGCGTTAAGATTTTGATAAGAAGATGTCATATGGAACTGGACCAGTAGCTAAGCCAGGTTTTTTTTGGGGGAACGGGCGGCGTGGCGGGAGGTGAGTATGGAATTAAGAGGTCAGAGGTTGTGCTTTTGCGGGGTACAGTTGCCATCGCTGGCGGTGCAGATGGGTGCCTCAATTAGTGGCACTCCACAAGCGCAAGCGCGCTGAAAAGGGGGGCAAAGAAAGAAAGGGGTTACGGATGGGGATTTGGATGGAGGTAGGGGTAGGGGTAGGAGAAGGGGTAGGCTCGTTCTGGGATTGGGAACTTGCCATTCGAGGCAGAAGTGTGTGCCATTTTAGACGAGAGAGTCGCACACTCGGCGTGTGTGAATGACATGGAAGACAGCAAACGACATATGCACAAAAGCTTCGGCAACAACGACACATGGAGGCGGCATTGTCAACGCTGCAAACTGTCACACGGGTGAAAGGGGGGTGCAAGGGGGGTGGGGGTTAAAAGGGGGGCACAAGCGGAGACAAGTGGCTCTCAGTCGGGGTCACCACCCAATCCCCACCATCTACCATCCACATCCTCCCACAAACTGCGAATGGAACTGAAACTGGCATGCAAATTACTGTCGAGCATGCTCATCTAAATTAGCAGCGGGATGGTACGGGGGCTGTAGGGGGTGAAGGGGACTTTTCAGGAGGGGTTAAGGCTGGGGGAGGCGGGTTAAACGGGGGTCTAAAGAGAGGTTAAAGAGGCGCAGCGATTCGAAGAACACCGGAGGCTCTGCGACCCTAGGGTGGCACATGCATAATTATTTTTATTATTATTCTCTATGCTTGGACCCTGTAACCCCGCCCACCGTTCCCGTACCGCCTCCGAAGTTCCCCCCCTTAGCCGCCGCCTCTGATCAACCCCATTTGGGCACAGATTGCAACTTCAGCGCCTACAAAACAACAAACAGTGGGCCAAACAGTAGTCAGATATTAAGAAAATGCAGCTACAATTTCAACCCAAAAAAAAATTAATTTCAAATAAATAGCTTAAATGATATTCATATTATCAAACCGTTTACATCTAGAAAATGGTCGTGATTTTTTTAAGTGCTTTTATTTTAAGTAGCTACATAGAAATGTGGATATAGCTTGGTCCATGCAAATTTAAAGAAAGTTTACACTTTTATTTTCAAAAAAATAAAAAAAATTTTTGGAAATATAAAAATACAAATTTGCTCAAATTCTATTTAGGAAAAATATATTTTTGATAATAAAAAATCAGGTTTTGGGTCTAAAAAATTCAAGAAATAGGAATGTTGAATCAATCAGATTATCGTTCCTTTAAAGGTTATTTGAAAATCTTTAAATGTCATTATAAGAATGTAATTAAATATATCACGTTTAGATACTACGATTGCCATGTTGATGTAGGCAGTAAATGAAAATTAGAAAACACTCTCCGTTATTTAGCCCACAGTTCGGGGTCTCCATCTTCTCTGGCGGCACCGACGCAATGTGCCGTAAAAATAATTATGGCTGCAACTGCACAATTTTGCTGGCAACCCCCCGTTCCTCCCAACCCCTCCCCCCTTTTGAAGCCCGCGCCGCACATGATTTGCCACACCCCCTAGACGCTTGCAACGCTTTCTGCGCCCTCCTGCCAGGAGTTTTCCGCTGGAAAAGCGGCGGGAAAATGCGATTTGGGGGAGTGGCAGACGGTCTTGTCACAAGAATCTAATGTGCAATTTTGTTTTACCGCATGCCACGCCCCCTTTCGCCGAAGCCCCATAAGGGGCGAGACTTTCCTCAAAGTGGAATCAGACTTGCATAATGCACACATGTATATTTATATATGTTTTATATACGCACATCATAATGGAGGTTTATGTGGGGACTACAAATTGTATTATATTCATGTTTTGTTTTAATTATAATTATAAATAAATTGTCAATTAATTATTTGCTTAGCAAAGCAAATACTGTTGAAAATGTGTTGTGAAGATTTTATATTTTGATTCCTTAAACTGAAATATTATTGGCTAACAAATATTAAAACTATGATTATAACAATAATACCAAATAGTTTGTAGCAAAAAATGTGTTTATACTAAATTGTCTATAAATTTTATAACCAACCAGCAAAAATGCATTAAAATATAAAATGGTTAGGACAAAACATTATTTCTCATTCTCAGCAATAATTTTATATAAAGGTATTGAAGTTATAAATTACGAAGTCATATTTGCCAGCTTTAAGTCTGCCCATAAAATCATTTGGAATTTCCAATCCCAGCAAGTAAGCTAATTTTCAGCCGACTTTTAGTGGCAACTTGAATTGGCTTTTGGGCAAATCTGAATGGTGCTCATTATGGGCTCGATGGCTTAGGTGGTTGGGTGGTTCTAGTGGTTGGGTGGTGGCGTCGTAAAAGGCTTTGCATTAACACCACCCAAACACCCCAAATGCAGCCAACCAAATGTCAAACGAGGCTACTTTTCTCCTCTCTCGCACTCGCTAATTTTGCTGTATTATTTTTTTTTTTTTTGGTTTTTTGTTCGTTGTTGTTGTCGTTGTTGTTGTCGTTGTCGTTGTCGACGCTACGTTACGTTTTCTTCCCTTCTTTCTTTAATGGGATTTACCTAAATGAGAGCTAATAATGGCCCGGTTGGGTCCGAAAGTGGAAAATATTTCCGGGTGCAAGCCTGCGGAGGCTGTAGAATTTAACATGCCATTTGATGTCGAGCTCTGTGTGGCTGTTTCAGCTACTGCTACTGCTTCTGCTTCTGTTTCTGTTTCAGTTGCTCTGCCTCTGTGTTCTGTGCCATGATTATTATTGGCACATTAGCAGGCCGGCCGACTCGCAGCCAAGTGCCGAGCCAGCCACTCCAGCCACACACTCGACACTCGCCTAAGTCCGGATTCGAGCCTCCGACCCATGACCCCTGACCCCGGAACCCACTCCGTCACTGCGAAAAAAAATGGGATCCTTAAATACAAATGGTTTTCGAGAAAAAACTAAAGGCGAAAAATAATTTTTAAGGCATGAAACAATATCTCTATGTAAGATAAAAGAAGCAACAATATTCCTGTGCTGGTTAATAAGTATATTTTTTTTTTGTGTTGCCACACTCAAAATAATAGTAGTTTTTAACCTAATGGAAATATCAATCAATAATAGTTTGTTTATAAACAACTGGTTTGTGTATATTCTTGTAAAGCCTATACTACAAACATAAAATCCACATCCATTATTGGTATAATACTTTAAAGTAATTACAAACAAAATTGATACAAAAAAGTGTGTTTTTAAATTTTTGATTTAAAAAATAGGAGAGATATGGAAAACATTTATATTCCAATGTAGAGTTATTTGCTTAATTTGTTTAAAAATCATTTAGGGTATATATATACGTAAATTTTAAGAAAATATTTAAAGATTTCAATTTCCTTGAAAACTAATACAATATTAATGGGTTTTTGAATCTCATTTTGATTATTGGCTAGTTTTAGAGAACTTTAAATTTTTTCACAACTATTTCTTCGACCGCAGCGTTGCGTTCAAAAACTTTTACTATTTAAATAATTCTTTGAAAATAGGCGGAAAGATATTTCCTGATGGCTTCTATTTTAGATAATCAAAAAACACCTCTAATATCGCAGGATACACTTTTTTTCCTTCGATTTTAGTTATTTTGCATTATGTAGCATATTCGGAAAATATCGGTTTTTGGTTCCTGCATTTAAAGTGTAATGAATATTTTCCGAAAATCCAGTTGGACTTAAAGATTGAAATATTTGCAATATCTAACCTGTACTATATTTGGCCCAGTGTGTGTGATATTTGCGAGGCGGAGCGGAAGCGTCGAACGGAACTTGCATATGTAAGCAAAAGCCAGCGGCAATTTTTGGGTCCAACCCTTGGATTCTGGTGGGGATGGGCTTTATAATGGGGGTTGGGATGGGGATGGCGATGGCGATGGGGATGGGGATGGGGATGGGGATTCAGAAGACCAGGACGACAATTGTCGCGTCTAGAGGCACTTACGCTAAATTGCATTTCACTTGTGTGTGCGTGCCGGGGAAAAAAGCAAATAGCCGACCGTACTTACATATACACTGTTCGAAAATGTTCGGTAAATTATTGTTAAATCGATTTTGGCTAGTGGAAAAATTGTTTTT